TAAAAATAAAGAGCATATATTTTTTTAAGGGGTGGGGAGGCCGTGTCTTTGTATATTTCTTAGAAATCTGTTCATAGTTAAAAAAAATATATATATATATATGGGGAGGGATGACTGACTTTTAAAGTTAATCAACATAATGGTTTCACAGTATGACATTAACATCACAGGTGCCCATGTTGGTTTATATTAGTTCAAAAATATACTTTGGTATAGAGGCAAACGTTTAGATGAATTTACTGATATGTAGGTTCATCAAAATAAGTTTAAGGGGTATGATTTTGTCAGACTTGTAATTTATAAATATATTATTTATGAAATGATCTTGATATTGTAGGCAAGTTTTTTTTTTGTGAATAGTCTTGTACTTATGTTGGTTGCTTTTTCCATGACTTCACATATAATTGAATAGGTTACCAGGTACAAGGTGCAAGTTGTGTTCATAAGATTTTCAACAAAGGGTTTGTTATCAGTGTGGATCTGTAATAAATTTCTTAGTGTATGATTGCTGGATCAAGGTAGATCTGTAATGATGTTCTATATATGGGATTTATGGATGAGGTTCATCATAAGTAGACATGTACAAATACATCCAAATGTCTAGACATTATTTATGTAATAAAGTTACATTGATCCATAAGTACATTATATAGTTCAGATCCTTTTTTTTTTCTTTTAATATACATTTTAGATGTTAAGGGAGTAATTTTAGGAACAAGAATATACATTCAACAGGTTTATGGTAGCAGTTTTACTTTGTCGAGTTTGCTCTTTCGCATAACATTTTGAGAGGACTGTTATATTTTAGTGTTTTGTTTAGTTGTATATCTGTTTATGGATTTTACTGAACTAAAGTGAAGAGAAGGAAAATAAAAATAGATGAATAAAATAGTGCATGATTCGACCAACTATGCTAGATAGATTTTCCTATATGGTCAAAACGTAAACAAGTCTTCAGCCTTAATTAAGCCCACACAGACTATTCGCAGTTGTTTTTCATTGGTGATTTAATAAATAGTATTAAAATAAATATCCCTCATTTGCATCTATTTTGTTATATTTAAATAATTTTCTTTTTCCTCTTTCCATCCATTAATTTTCTATAATTTTTTTCTGGTTTTGTAAGACTGATATTCATTTTACTTATTGTTTGTTAATTTCTAGTCCCTTTATAAAATAAGACTGAAAATTTCGAATAGTAGGTTCATTACAACGTTAGTCTGTCGGTGCAGTATGAAATGTCCATTTGAAACAGCTGCCATGAACATATGTTTCAACACTTGTGTGGGCAGGTGTCGAGCGAATCGTCATTTTAATGTGGAATGATCAAAAAGAGAAAAAGCAAGTATGTATATCATATATACAAGTATTGTAATCTTTCATATACTTCTATGCAAACTGTTACATAGTTGCCATAGTAACAGATAGATCCCTATATGCAAATCAACCAAACATTTAGCAACCAAAGCCACTTCCAAGGAACCCGAACACTTAAGATACAAGGGTGTGTCCACAGCTAACCAATCAGGAAGCAGGTCCTGTAGGCGGGCACTTGGCAACAACCAATAAGGAAGTAGTTTGTTAGTGGTTTCACCAGCGTTCGTTTCATGGATAATTCACCCCACGTGCGTACGTGTACCTAGTAAGATGTGTTTGTGATACGAAGATGAGGAGGCTTAAGTTATCTTATCGGTCAAGTATACTGAGAAAAGAACGAAAGAAAAATGTTTCCTGTGAAAGATTATTTTGAAGAAAATAAAAAAGGTATGAACCCATTGTCATATACTTATGGGTTTACTTGACACCCATCCTCTTACATTCTCACGTATCTTGGCTGGTCCGTGAGAAATGGATGAGGTTAAATGGGACAAAGGGGTTAGGGATTGCGAATCTAATTTCCTGCACGAAAAAAGAAACGATTATACACAGGCACGTATCCTTACCGGCATGCTCGCTCACACTACAACAAATCCCCTGCTCAAGGACGTGCACCTAACAATTAACCCTTTTCTTTTCCGGGAGAGAGAAACGCGCTACCGTTCATTATTTCTTAAATAACGTTACTATATGTACTCGTGTTATAAACAGTTGATTATGGGTAAATTATGAGAAAGAAATTTTATTTAAGGCATGCCCTGCAAATACTCAACGAATACATTGTACATTTACGCAGGTATTCCTTCGCTACTCAGTCTGCAATTGACCGGTCTAGGGAACAGACAAGCCTTGCCCCTTTTTATTAATAAGACTAGGACAAGTTACTGTAGTAGACAAAAAACAACAACGCATAAGAACCCCTCGCCTTATATGGAGTTCGTCGAGGTCATCATCTCTAGGACTTGCTTTTGCGTCTTGGGGTCTGAATGGATGGATGTAAGAGAAATACTGATAAAGAAGAAGGAGAGGGAGGAAAAGATGCATGATACGGGGAGTGGAGGGGCATGCAGAAATGGGACTTATTAAGGAAATTGAGAAGGAAAAGTGGCGAAGAGGAACGAAGAAACAGACATTAAAAAAAACTTAATTGACAACCAATTGTCAATTAAGTGAGAGAATAAGAACAAGTGAACGAGAAAGAAGTAAATATTAGGCAAAGAAACAAAACTGAGAAGTCGTGACAAAATTAGTGGAGGAGAGAAGAGAATATCCAGATGCCTCTGTGTACAGTATCACATCTAGCTTGAGTACTGATACACTTGTATCTCGCTCTACTCTCCGACTAGCCAGTACAGCACTGAACAAAAAAACAAAAAACACACAAAAAAATACAAACCTTACAAATGCAGTTGAAGGTAAGGTAGCTCAGTGCAGATCTTAACGCATTGTATGAAGTTTTACTCTGAACTGGGTAACACTATACATTAAAAGGGAGAACTTCAACACACAACACTGAATCAAGATTTTATATGTCAAATAGCAACAATTTCATATGAACTACCTTTAAGATTACTTTATATGCAAGGCTAAACAGAAAACGTGCAACAAAGTAAAGTGAAAAAAAAAACAGACCAAAGCCATGCTGTCCATGAATTCATGTTCTCGAAACTCGGTTTTTCAGTGGCATGCGAAATCTTCATCTGCAGACTAAGGTAAAAGTCACACATGATGGAGAAACCGTGGAGGAGGAAAGGGGGGGGGAGAAAGTGGGGAGGGAGATGCAGAAGGAAAGGAGAGGGAAGATCGAGGGGATGAAGAAAAGGAGAAGCTGGAGAAAGAAATGAAGAGTAAGAGGGAGAGGGTAGAAGCAGCATAGGAGGAAAGAGAGAAATAAGAGGGATTGAAGAAATGAGAGGAACGAATAAAGGAAGGTGATAGTGATGGAGATAGCAGAGAATGAAAGGCGATGGAATAGAAAGTAGCGGGGAAACTCGAAAATCAGGGGGAAAGGGGGAAGAGAGGGATGAAAAAAAGACGAGCCAGACATGGATGGGAGGAGAAATGGACAAAGGGAGGAAGACGGATGAAGAAAGACAAGAATAAGAAACTAGATTATTGTAAAATGAGGCTAGTTTCGAAATCCACTTGGATTCCATCTTCAGACCTGAAAATCTCGAAACCGTAGCCTCATTTTCAATAAATCTAGTGTTAGTATGGAGTTTTTATACCATAGTATCTACACGGAAGTGTTTTTTTTACCCTTCACAAGAATAGGAATAAAGAAAAAAAAGAGGTAAACGGACGGGTGTAGGGAGGAAAAGTGGAAGAGGGATGGAGAAACATTACACTCCGTTTTGTATGCACGTCTGTTTATGCAAATGTGCGTGGCAGTACTGGCATCTCTCTTGTGTATGCTCATCTGCGGGCGTGCAGACTCATACAAGCGCATATTAGCGTCTATCCAATGTGATGCTCAATATTTAGTGTAGATTCCACTGGAATTGCGTGAACCTTACTTTTTTTTTTGTAAATTCACCGATTTTAAAAGGAATCGTTACTCATACACGAACCTCCTACTCAGATATCTGGTCTCCCAAAATAAACCGAATTAAACCAGAGAGAATTCGTAAAATTAAAGCGTCATCACTAGATAAGAACATCACAAAGGCGTGGCACATGAACACGAAATAATAGGGGGCAGGGGGGGGGGGGTCTTGAAATTGTAAAAGGTCTACATTCATTCAAGCGAACTTTCAGGCTTCATATATTTCATAAAATAAATTAATCTTAATTCGATGAGTTATGGGTATCACATTTACATACATACACTTGTTCATTAAGTCAGCAGCTTCGACACGCTAAACAAGTCCTATGATGATCTTTACGTAACGAGCATTCTTGTTCTATGCTATTACCTCACCTCCAGGGCCTGAGCGAATCTTCAGTATTGCTATGTATGTATGTATGTATGTATGTATGTATGTATGTATGTATGTATGTATGTATGTATGTATGTATGTATGTATGTATGTATGTATGTATGTATATATGTATAACCTATGCAAAATAATTGGAAATACGGCCATAAATTTGGTCGTTTAAAGAAATGAAACGGTTACTAGCGGTGGTATATATAACGAACTATTGAAGTCTGAAATACAAAGCATTGAACGCTTAACTATACATTTACTGGAATACAAAAGGCCGACAAGTTAATTGATAGAACTCAGTTGTGCAAATACAGCACTATTTAAGGTTTAACTTTATCATCCTAATGTCTGTATGAATCAGTGAATACGACCAAGGTGATCTACTGCACCAGATTGAGCATGTTTTATCCAAGCAGAAATCAATAGGGATAATGAAATTTAACCAATTCATCCCCACAGATTATAGTGAATTTTAGAGTCTTGTACTTTGCATGATACTTCGTTATACTTCTGATATTCCAATAGATCTACAGTTCTGTAGACCAGCTTGGATGAAATGGTCTGTTTATTTCTCGAATATTTAAAATTTAAGCCTTCATAATTATGACTTGCAGTCTAAATCCAGAAAGAGATACTCAGATTCTGAAGAGGGGTAAGCAACTCCATGCTTAAAATAAAGGAAAACGAAAGCAATTGTGTGAAATTAAGTTCTTTATTGGCCAATATCCAGTTGGTCAAAGTAGCATACATCATTGATCCAGAGTGTTTCAGACAAAAAAAACATGTAAGGGATGAGACTAGCACGACTAAACATCGACGACCACGACCACTCGCTACCACCGACGTGTGGAGGCGTGGAGAGCGTTCAGCATTTCCTCCCTCCCGCACCATCACGAAGGTATACGAGGACGCAAGGGCGTGATGCCAGGGCGCACGGGGAAGTTCCTACCTTTCAAGAATTTGATCTCGTGGTTATATATAATATGCAAATAAACTAAGATCTTTCGCCAACATATTACTAAAGAGTATTTGAAGCAGCAACGCACGAAGACAACGAAGAGGTCCCGCGCCCCCGGCCGTACCACGCCGTCCCTCGCGCCCTCCCTTCCTCACATCCTGCACACGAGGCCGACGCCTTAGGCATCCACGGACTGCATGTGCTTGAGGAGGTCGATCACGCGGTTGGAGTAGCCGAATTCGTTGTCGTACCAGGAGACGACCTTGACGAAGGTCTTGCTCAGCTGGATGCCGGCCTTAGCGTCGAAGATGGAGGAGCGGATGTCACCCACGAAGTCGGTGGACACCACGTCGTCCTCGGTGTATCCCAGCACGCCCTTGAGGGGTCCCTCGGCGGCGGCCTTCATGGCGGCCTTGATGTCATCGTAGGAGCACTCCTTGCCAAGGCGCACGGTCAGGTCAACAACGGACACGTCGGGGGTGGGCACGCGGAAGGCCATGCCGGTCAGCTTTCCGTTCAGCTCGGGGATGACCTTGCCGACGGCCTTGGCGGCGCCGGTGGATGAAGGGATAATGTTCTGGGCGGCGCCACGGCCACCACGCCAGTCCTTGGCGGAGGGGCCGTCCACGGTCTTCTGTGTGGCGGTGACGGCGTGCACGGTGGTCATGAGACCCTCGAGGATTTCGAAGTTCTCGTGCAGGACCTTGGCGACGGGGGCGAGGCAGTTGGTGGTGCAAGAGGCGTTGGACACCACCTTCATGTCCTTGGAGTACTTCTCCATGTTGACACCGCACACGAACATGGGGGCGTCGGCAGAGGGAGCGGAGATGATGACCTTCTTGGCGCCGCCCTGGAAGTGGGCGGAGGCCTTCTCGATGGTGGTGAACACACCAGTGGACTCAACGATGTATTCGGCGCCGGCCTTGCTCCATGGAATGTTCTCGGGCTTCATCTCGTTGAAGACGGTGATCTTGTGGCCGTCGACGACGAGGCAGCCGTCCTCGGCCTTGACCTCCCCCTTGTGCTGGCCGTGGGTGCTGTCATACTTGAACATGTACACCATGTAGTCCAGCGCGATGAAGGGGTCATTCACAGCCACCACCTGGGGAAGAGGGAGGAACACTGTAGCGATAGGAGGCGAGATAAGAACTTTCGTATCAGCAACGTAATCTGGAGTACGGGTGTCTGTATTACGCCGTGACGCCGGGAATGCAGGTTGACATTCACCGATTTTATACTGAAGGTCCAAGAACACTCCCAGAAGGCAATAACCTAGTCTTTCTGATCCGTCTACCCTTAATTTTCTTGATTAAAAATGCTATATTCTGTTAATTTTCACGCCATTAATGAACACCATAAATTTCCCTGCAAACTAAGTGAAATGAGGTAAGCAGGCGTGGCGAGATAGGTCTAGTAACTGTCCAATTTGTGACTACGGTCTGGTGCCATTTACGTGTAAAACCAGTACAAAGGAAATGTACCCAGCATCAGTAGTTCTCCAACCTATTCAAACTAGGAATACAATGCCACTTTGAAATTTCTTTCAAACATCTTAATAAAAGATAAGTCCTAAAACTGAAAAAAATCCTTCAAAGATGCCGGCATTTTCAGAAGCATCGCTCTGCGAGAGCAGGACGAGTTGCATCCCGACGCCATCAACAAAGGAACACGACGTCACTATCACCGCTTTACTATCGTTCGAAGCACTTTGTGACAAAGCGATGGCATTCTCTTAATTATTACCGAATATAATTACTATCTACAAAATAAAGTCAAGTTACAATGTCATAAGCGAGTGTACGTGCGCGCGCGCTTGTACGCAAAAAATCTCCGCCGGCAACCGACATCCACCACGAACCGGTCACGTGATTCGCTTCCCGACCAACCCCTCTATAGTGATCTGTTGCAACGTTTAACAAACGGGCGTTTGCAAAGGAGTCATTCATCCAACTGACTGAAACGTTTCAATTGAAAATCTAAAGCGAGTCAACGAGCACCAAGACTAATGCAAGGCAATTATTTTCTTGTTCTGTACACTTAGGTTTTTAATTAGATTACTTGTAAATATAAACTGAAGATCAAAATGCAATGAAGCCGCACCCTCGAGGGTACTTATATGGGGGGGGGAGGCTGGGTAGAAAATACGAGCCATTATCCAGATCACGTGACCAGCACTTCATCCCACCAACATCCTTGCTAAAGTTAATGTCACTTCATAAAGAAATAGCCAAAATGCGTTTGTCAGTGCCACTTCTCATGCAATTGGCATCATCCTCTAACCTTGCCCTTCGCAAGGCTGCAAGGGGAAGGGAGGGTATGCACGAATGTTTGCAGCTGTGTTGCTAGGCTGTCTCCTCTGCCAATATCGACCGTTTTAGACTACCTTACCCTCTCACGAAGCTTAGCTCAGGCTATGACGTGTGAAGTTTGGCAGTGATCCAAACGATTTTCTCCCTACTAGCTTTAATATTTCGAACCTAAAATGCCACCATCTATATATAAACAACCGCATGACTTCTTAGAAAGGAAGTCTTTAAAACTTCCTTTATCAGTAAATGCTCGTTTACTACGCGCTTTACCGGCAAATCTGTAGGTTGAGATAAGTAGAATATTCAACTAATTTGACTAAATTACCTTGTATATGTTCTAATTTCTGCGGAAAACCTACCATTCAGCACGAAACGCAAAATAGAAACACTAAAATCACAAAAGACTACCCGTTGAGACCACCTAGTACACCCTACAAACCAGGACCATGAAACCTGAAATTCTACCCAATTCCATTTACAGAACCCTAAACGCCTTACACCCAAGTAGCAAGGGGCGTCACACTTACCTCGGCTCCCTTCTGGAGGGCTGCGCGGAGCACCAGGCGACCGATGCGGCCGAATCCATTGATACCGATCTTCGACATGTTAGCGGTTGTGGTGGTAGGACTGTGTGGCGAGGAAACTTCTGTGGAGAGAGAGAAACGGAAGGTGAGAAAACGGGAAGTGGGGTAGAGATGCGATAACTGTGGGAGGAAGATGGGGGGGAGAGACAAGGAGGCTGGATCGGCGGGGGGGGGGGGGATTTGCGTAATCGGTAAGGGAAATGTTCTCGTTACTAATTAGGGAATTATATATCTACCTCAATATTACTTTGAGGTAGACCTGATGTAGGGACTTTTGATAATACTCTCAATGAATAACGAGTATTTAATTTCCGTGGAAAGACGAAGGCAGAAAACCAGATTAACAAGCAGGAGGGATATTCGAAGGATTCAAGAATTTAATTTCGCGGTCGTCACCCAAGAACACCTCAAAATCTTATCTGATAAAAACTTGAATTAACAGGTTTAACCCCTTCAATACTTTTATCAAAGAAACCCACATTACTTTTCGGGGTAAAATGTGATAATGCTGTGGAGATTTACTACGTCACAAGAGCCTGCGCTCCGTCACGTATACACAGCCGGCCGGCGCTGGCTACATGTATACGCAGATCATGAACAGGCTTAATGTATCCATTATCTCTGCACATTATCTGATAGTTGTCAAAGAGATTAAAAGTTTAAGGTATACAGACTTAAGAGAGTACCGATGGAACACCCCCCCCCCACATCCTATCTCCCTTGCCGGTGTTCATTGCATCACAAAAATCAATACAGTGACCTTGTGCAGTGTCAAACTTAAGGCTACTTGTTTTGGGAGTACATGTTACAACCCCACACTCCAATATGCTTTACCAGACACGCATTCGATGCCGCCACGTCGCACTTCACACAAAAAGTAACCCGTTACCTCTATCCCCCCCCCCCCCCCGCAGTCCCCTTTAAGAATCCCACATAGCCGGCGACTTCACTGAAAAAAATAATCCGCTCAATACTGCATCACGGTGAACTTTGCCTCCCTCTCACGGCTTTAAAATACATCAAAATATCACTTCAAAAATTATATGCTAAAATATTTCCGATTATAAAAATCATTTAAAGCTTATACTCCTCACGAGGCGTTCACTCACCACTCTGGTCTTGACTAGACTGACACCGGCGCACCGGCGCGGCGCCTTTTTATGCACTAGCCAAGTCACGTGACCTGCGCGGAACCCCTCCACACCCCCTCCATCCCAGCGCATGAACAAGCCACCGCCTAAGTCATTTCCTGCCTCTCCTCGCTTCATCACGAAATCGATATCCACATCTTTCCAAAAATAACAGATCCAAGAGTCTCATTCCATAGTTATACAGAGATGACAACATTCCTCACAGGTGGAATTAAACCCAAACGAAGAACGGGGTATCTGGCACCTCCTAAGGGGAGGAATGAGGAGGGGAAGAGGGGGGTGAGCGGTCCGATGTGCCGGCCAAGCTCCTTGAGCGACCTTCAAAACTACGACAGGGCACAAAGGGCAACACCTCTCCGAAGCCACGGGGGCGCTCGATGCCAAGTATATTCTGAATGAGAGGTTGTAGTGCCGGGCAGAGAGAGAGAGAGGGAGAGAGAGAGAGAGAGAGAGAGAGAGAGAGAGAGAGAGAGAGAGAGAGAGAGAGAGAGAGAGAGAGAGAGAGAGAGAGAGAGAGAGAGAGAGAGAGAGAGAGAGAAGGGGGGGGGGGAGAATATCCACCAGTATAACACCACGCCTAAATACATCTAAACTATCCTACATCAAAAGAGCACACATTTAGAATTGAGCTCTCTCCTACCGACAAATACATCACCCATCATGCAGCAAATTAAAAATAACCCTCGTTTCAAAACGATAGTTAACTAAAAAGGTCCCACAGGATAAAGCATGGGACATTCAAGGTCGTCCAAGGTGACACACAAGGGCTTGCAGTCTGCAGTCTCCGTTCAACTTCTGAGCCATGGCAGTGAAACCTGCTCACGCCTTCGTAATTCTGTAATATCTAATCGTGCCCTGTCCTTCAGAAAATACAAGAGTCGTAGATACGCTTATTATACAACTCCCATTATGCAAGTTCCTTGTGACATCCAAATTCGCGCATATTTAACCTAAGATACCTAAGAAAATGAGATCCGATCTTTTCGTAATGTTTACAGATCAGTTTTACTCTATACGATAAAATCTGCGAAGTGAAAATCATAGTCGCTGCACTTGAAGGCGTATATTCATTAGGCCTAGAAGCCAACACACAACCCGCTCGTCTCTCCTCCGACCAGCGTCACCTACATTCTTTCCCTGCTCCTCCCTCCCCCCACCCACTATCCACGCACCACTTACCTGTCTAACCGTGGCACGTTCCTCAGCACGAATTTCCTGTGAAACAACGGTAATATAGATACTTAGATACTTAAATCTCGCTTCTACCTATAGAAACTTTTCGACTGCCCAATTTTAAGCCCAGATATTCTTGACCTCTTTCCCTCCTGCATCCCCTCCAGTTATTTTTTTAAAATCTAACTCAAACTGAAAGAGGCTTGCTTTACATCTCTCGGGCTGTTAATAGTTCAGTTCGGAAAAAAATGCAACTTGACAAGTAGAAAGAACACTTGTCTCTATTCATCTTATTTAAACAGTATAACTATGGAATCCGTTTTATGTATCGAAGCGCGGAGCTTTTGTCACGACTTTTCCCTTTAAACAATCAGGCTTTAAAATCTATTCGACTGAGCAACTGACAACGGATCACAGACACCTTCGACATTCGCTTCGGGCAAATCCTCCCCGTTAGGCTCAGCTGCAGGCGACGAAGACGAAGGATCCTGTTCCTGTTGCTCCTCCTCCTTTTGCTCTTGCTCTTCTTCCCCGTGTTGCTCTTGCTCCTCTTCCCCCTGTTGCTCTTCCTCCTTTTGCTCTTGCTTTTCTTCCTCCTCCTCCCCCTCCTGTTGCTGCTCCCTCTGTTCCTCCTCGAGTACCTCTGTCGGAGGGGAAGCAGGAGTTGCGGAGGATCCCCCCGACCCTCGACGTCGCGAGGTGATGGCGCCCATGCATGTGGTGTCGACCGCAGTGGGCCAAAGTATCGACGAGCAGCGTGGCGACAAGGAAAGCTTGCGAGTGACTTACTTTTCCAAGTTAAAAGAAACACGATGTCTTTATAAACGTTCCATCTTCAAACGCCAATCAAGCCACAACCTCTAAAAAAATACTACATAGAACAGAATATTTGCCTTCCGTTGCTATACGAGTGACAGCATGCGAGTGTCGCGCACACAACTATTTGCCTACCTTCCGCGCACACTTACTCGATACAAGTCCAAAACGTGGAATAAAAGCTTGCTTTTGTGTGTATTCCTCCAGGCGCCGTTGTTATCGACCTGTCATTGACCGGAAAATTCCGATTCCCACACACACGCATATTTACAACTGCAAATCCTTAAACCCAAACGAAGAATAATTAAAAAAAAAGTTTCCTGTCGCACTATTAGCCTCGCTGAAACTTTCCATGACAAGCGGGGACTTACCGAGCACTCGACTGGAGGAAGAACGATTGAGCCGATCGCGCGGCCCCTTCAAGCAAGTGGTTTAAGGCAGTCGACCGCAAACTCGCTATCTTAGCAAACGAGCCAATTATACTCCCAGGCCACGTTCTAAGCCTTTGAGAAACATGTTAATAACTACCAATTCCCCTTGATTCCTCCCCGGTTGGTTTGGCGTCCCGTTCACGATTCCAGGAATTCCCGACAAATGAGTAAACGTGGCCACATCGATACACGAGTAGTAGTTTGCATTATTCAGCCACGGTTTGGTATAGCTTTGTTATCAATAATAATTTTTAGCTCATCACCTTCCAATTCCTTTTTCCTCTCTCTTCTCCTCTTCCATTCCTATATCCTCCTTTTCCTATTCCCATTCCAACCCTCCCCCTTCCTCTTCCTCCACTCCTACATCCTCCTCCTATCCCTCTACGATTCCCTTCTCCGTCACTCTGCCTCCTCCTCCTCCCTCCAACCGCATTTTGTCCGCTTCTCTCCTCCGCCTCCATTGCTATGGGATTGGGATTTCATCATTGGTGTCATCACCATGGCTACCGGGAATTGGTGGTCACGCTGGCCTCGTCGCTAAGTGAAAAAAATCTCATGTGGGCTTTGCATACCATATAGCCTACATAAATACATGCACGTCCCGCACACACATGCATGGGGATATCTTGTCGATTTTATTACTTCATTAGATGAGGCAATATATCCAAAAAGGCCTTCGGCTTATTCGTGTGTTTTCCTGTACTTCCCTTCATTGTTCTACTTGCACACATATGCGCGCGCGCACACACACACATAAATACACACACATACACGCACGCACGGACATATGTATACACACACACACACACACACACACACACACACACACATGCACGCACGGACGCATGCACACACACACACACACACACACACACACACAGACTTGGGCACCGACACAGACACATACACGTCTACATACACAGATACGCAATCATACACGAACGCACCGACACATACACATACGCATCCTCACAATGTATTGATGAATATGTATATATGTATGTATGTATATATATATATATATATATATATATATATACACACCCACAATAATATATATATACATATATATATATGTGTGTGTGTGTGTGTGTAACGCATACACACACACACACACACACACACACAAACAAACACGCACACACACACGCACGCACACACACACACGCACACACATACACATATATATATGTATGTATATATAAGTATATATGTATATATAGTAAAAAATCTGTATACACAAATATATATTATATGTACTTATGTATATATAATATGTATATGTATATATAAAACAATCTTTGCCTATAATCTCCTCCAGCAAACCATCGTCAAATCTGCCTGCGTGTGCGCCTGTGTTACTGCACGCGCGCGCGAGCAATCTCGAGTGCGTGCGCCACGGATTCTGCGCCGGATGAGTCAGCGCAGTTGCGTCAGCGCCTCCTGCAACCCTCGGGCGCGATGACGACACAGCGCCGGCGTCCGTCCTCGGCGCTGCGCAGCTCGGCACGTCTGCACCGCGGCCGGGGGCAGCGGGGGGGTCGCGGGGTCATTACCGTGGGGGGAAATTAACGGCAGCGATGGAAGGGAGAATGGGGCGATAATGACAGCTATGAAAAAACAACAATTACAACAGTATTAAATAATAACGCTAATATTATCATAATGAATAATAACAATAACATTATCAAAATAATAACAATAACATTACCATAACAAATAATAATATTACCATAATAAATAATAACAATAACACTACCATAAGAAATGATAAAAATAACATCAAAATGAATAATAACAATAACAACATTACCATAATAAATAATAACAATAACATTAACATAACAAATATTAACAATGATCCTCCTGATCTTACGACTCATAATACTATCACCCCCCCCCAAAAAAAAAAAAAAACAGCAACAACGAAATAACAAATACAAGAAAATAAAAAACTGCGTAACGGTAAGCCAAATCACATTAACTTCCCTAATCAATAATTAAAAATGAACTTAAGTATACTAAAGCTGCAACAAACGTAAACTAACCAAATAATACATATACTTATAGAACTTAGCCTCCCTTCTAATAAATGTCTGTGACTGATAAATGTAATGATAATGACGGTGGAAAGGCTAATAGCAAAATAATAATAACAATGACGGCGGCGATGATGATGATAATAATGGCCGTCATAATACAATAATAATTATGATGATGGCAGTAATAACAATCATAATAATAATAATAATTATAATGATAACAACCACAATAATGATAATAATAACAATAGTAATAGTAATAATAATAATAATAATAACAACACCAATACTAAGAATAATAAAAATAACAATGACATTGATCATGATGACGAGGATTTTTCATTTGTAATCATTATCATCACCAAATTGTTTTAATAATATAATAAATACAATGTTATAATAATAACAATACTAATAACAATGATAACAACAGCAAATAAAGTAGCAATAATCCAGCACACGTGGTCTGATTATGATGCAACACGGAAAAGGAATAATTGGAATGATAAAG